GGATGTTTCTCTCTCTCTCCCTCTCCCTTCCTCTCTGACATCAATAAAGATACACATATATTTTAAAAAGAGCTCAGCCAGCGATGGCAGTGAGGCAGCTCCGGCCTGTGATTGGCCCTTTACCCCCAGAGCACGTGGCTCCTTTCTGGAAAGAGGGGCGGAGTGAGGTGTGGCCAGGGACCCCAGGCCTCGGGGCTCCTGGGCCGGCTGCCTCACACGGCCTTGTTTCCAGAAGCTTCCCTCCGCCCTGCCCTGTGGGGAAGGTGCCAGGCCACCCCACGGGCTTGGCTGGGGAGCCGCCTGCCTCCCTCCCAAGTGCCCCAGCTCGGGCGCTTCCCGAGGTGACGCGTGACCTGGATCCGCGCGGTGAAGTCACGGCGTTGTCTCAGTTCCCAGGAGCGGCTCAGGCGGCAGCGGACGCCTCCCGGGCCGGGCCGGGGTGACCACACTCACAGCCACCGTCTGCCCAGGTGCCGGGCCCGCCTTGGCCCGCTGCCCCCGCAAGCACAGTGGCAGGGGCGTGGGAAAGTGGGGCGGGGAGGGGGGGGGAGGCCAGAGGACCGGGCTCATTCCCAGCCCTCCCTCTGCTGTTGGCTGTGGACGGAGAACCTCTCTCAACTGCTGCCTTTGCACCTGGAACCCACCAGGAACGCTGTCAGCTGTGGGGGGATCCAGTGAGGACGCAGCCGCGAAAGCACCGTTCAAGGGACAGCAGTTCTGTCCGGATGAAAACCGGACCACAGTTCAGCTGGCGTGGCTCAGTGGTTGACCTATGAACCAGGAGGTCTCGGTTCGATTCCCGGTCAGGGCACATGCCCGGGTTGCGGGCTCGATCCCCAGTGTGGGGCGTGCAGGAGGCAGCTGATCAGTGATGCTCTCTCATCACTGATGTTTCTCTCTCTCTCTCTCCCTCTCTTCCTCTGAGAACGCAATGCAAATCTATTAAAAAAGGAAAAGAAAAGGCGGCTGTCATCCCCCTTCGGTCATTCCCTGTGCACAGCTGTCCCCTCCCCGGGGGACGCTCGTCCCTGGTCCGGCTCCTGCTTGTCCTCCTGTGGGCGCCTCCTGCTGCCCAGCTAAGGGGGTCCTCTCCCGCCCACCCCTCCCTCCAGCCAGGCTCTCCCGTTCTTTTACTTTCCTCGTAGCACTTGGCACTCTCCAACATGGTTCCTCCTCCTTTTATTTTTTAAATCTTCACCGGAGGTTAAGT